AGTCTTCTGGTGTGTCAGCCACCCCCCCCAGTTTTGGATCATCAGCAAACTTGCTGAGGGTGCACTCTGTGCCTTCCTCCAGGTCATTGATGAATACGTTGAACAAGACTGGAGGCAGTACCGACCCCTGGGGGACACCACTAGCTACAGGTCTCCAACTAGACTCCGCACCACTGACCACAACCCTCTGAGCTCTGCCATCCAGCCAGTTCTCAATCATCCACCTCACCGTCCACTCATCTAGCCCACACTTCCTGAGCTTCCCTATGAGGATGTTTCTCTTGAGCCACTTCCATTTGGGTATGACCAGGTGGCACTGGTAGGGCTGAGCTCTAGAAATGCTAGTCCTGCCAGGGAAACCCAGAGGTCAAATCTAGCTTAGAAAACAGCTTGTTTCTGGTCATGTTTTAGATAGAAATAGTCGGAACAAAACCAGGCCCCAGCCTGGGGAATCCCTCAACCTCTTTCAGCTGTTCTTTTGCCCATAAGCTGTATGCCTGGAGGGACAATAGGGAGCTATAAATACATGTGCGTGATGGTGGCTTTGTATCAGCACTGGCTGCCATGACCATGCTGCTACCCGCTGGGTGGCCCTAGGCAGATCACACCAGCTGATGTGCCTGCATTTTTTGCAGCACTGATGATACAGGGGCAGAGTGGCTGTGCTCTTCCAAAGCTGGGGTCCTCAGCACAACCACTAAGCTGAGACATGAGGGCAGGATCAGAGCCTACAGTGAATCGCAGTGGATTATTTGATAATGGCATTGACCAGGAGTCCTCCGGTCTCTGGGTGCAGCTCTTGCAGTGCACATCTGGGGGTGTGATAGCAGTAGTGGCCTTAGAAAGAGCCAGAAAGAACAGGGTAGGCTGTCTCACCTCCAGCCTGGGCTGAAGATAACCTCCTGTCCTGGATGCCTATGGAGAGGTTGTCATATCTTGTGCTTGAGTAGTGCCTGTGCTGGGCCAACACTTCCCTTGACCGCAGAGCAATGTGAGCCTAGGCACCAGAGCAGGGGTGTCCTCTGCCCAGGGAGCGATAGGTGAGAGTTTCTCAGTGCCAGCACTTGCTGAGCTCTGCTTGCAACTGGAGGCCTCCCTGTGGTGAAGGTTTGCAGGCAGGAAAACCACATGCTAAAGGGCAGGGCTCAGCTCTCGCTCGGGGCTCTTTGGTGCTTGCATCCTACCCCCTCTCTTCCCCAGGGTCCAGGGGGTGAGAGGCCAGACGAACCCATGCTGGTGGGCTGTGTTGCCCCCCCCCCCCACTTGGAGGCTTTTCAGGCAGCCTGAAGTATGAAGTCTGGCCTGCACACTCCTTGTGGGAGGAAAACACACATGGTGCACCTGATTTTCTCAAGCGGCTAAGTGAGGCGTTGCACTGCTCCTGGCTGTTGCCCCCATGATGCCCTCCCAGCCTGTGTCTGGAAGAGCAAACCAGAGCAGAGGTCCCTCTGCAAGTGTCTCCACCAGGGATTTCAGGAGCTAGTCCCCATATGCCCACAGCTTTCTGGGAGCCCAGCCACACTGAGAAATGCCAGTGGAGGGCCCGGCCTGCTAAGGTCCTTAGTGGAGCCATGCCACACCATGCCATGCTACCCTGAACCTGCGGGTGTCTCCGGGAGGCTGGAAGGCTGGGTGGAACAGAGGTCACTGCGGTCCTGAAAACACGTCATTTGGGGTTTCATTGGCCAGTCTCCTATGTCCACATTTTGGCATTGCGCCGCAGGCTGCGTCAGCCTGAAGGCCTGTACCCCTGTGAATGCCTTGCTCCACGCTCAAGCACCGATGCTGGGTATCAGAAGCAATCTTGGCACCCTCCGATGCTGTTCCTGGCACCCTGGGGTGCCTCTGCAGCACATTCAATGGGGGTGCTGCCCCCCCCAGCTCTCTTGGCAGCGGGGGCAGTGGGAGGTGCTGCACAATGCTCTGAGCAGTTTCTCTCAGGCAGGTGGCTGTGAGAAATGGGGCACAAGTGCTCAGGTCCTGCCTTATCAAGCGGATGTGTTTGCTTCCTCTACCATGTCAAAGAGCCATGGGGCTGCTGCTGCTTCTCCTTTCAGCATGTGGGGGGTGGTGGAGCAGCCTCAGGCGTTTGGCATTGCCCAGATTATGTAGATAAACTCTGGGTTTTACTGCTCATGTTAAGCCAACAAGGCCACAAAAGGTCTTGCAAAAGACTCCCGAGCAAAAAACTGAAGAAGCCAAGAAGCTTTCTGAGGCCATTCACACCATGGCTTGCTCCGAACCCCAGAGAGCGAGACAGCTGCAGTGATACTGTGTGAAGCGTGGCATGGGAGTCACGGGGTTGCTTGGGTTGGAGGGCTGAGCAGCTCTGCCCTGCTTGTCTCCTTTTGCCAGCAGTATGAAGGGGGACATTTTGGGAAGAGCCAAACTGACTCCTGAGGGTGGGTATTTCCAAGCAGCCCTGTGAGGCCATAATTCAGAGGGGGGTATCCTGGTAGGCAGTGAAGGGACTTTCCACTCTGCTCCAGGGAACAGGGCTGTGTGTGACTCACTTCTGAAGAGGAAGTCAGCTGGTTTCCCTCAGCGGAGAGGAATGCCACAGCTTGTCAAGTGGCGTGGGGGGTGCAAGGCTGTGATGCATTGAAGGGGGTGACGGTGTTGGGTTTTGTGACTTTGGAAATGTGATATTCCTGCAGTGGCATGAGCTGGAGCAGGGCTGAATAGGAGCGAGCTGTAATACCCCAGGAACCATGGTACCTGTGCATGAGAGTGGGCCTGAGGTGGCAGAGCCCTGGCTGTGGGTGTCAGCCAGATCCCCAGGGGATACTCAGGAAAATAACTCGATGTGTCAGGAGATAAGTGTGGCT